TAGTACTATAATTGTATTCTTTTCAATAGCAAACCTCCAAATCCTTTTCTTCAACAAGTTTGATTTGAGGATTTGAGCCTTATAAGGGTTTACTATGATATGGTACTTGAATTGATTCAGATGAATTATCCAAATCTTTTTCTTCAACAAGTTTGATTTGAGCCTGATAAAGATTTACTATGAAGTGAAAATCATTTGAATGATTCCCATGAATTTTAAGCAGGAGGGGAAGTGATATAAAGAAGGAGGCTCTAGTTTTTTATTTGAGATTTTATTCTAGGTTGTTGTTGTTTTCTTGATTCAATGTATTTTAAAAAGCATTTTGAAATATTTAGAAACAGTATGCCTGGTCATGTGGTCGATGCCCCAGGGCTGTTGTTCAATGATCCCAGGTTTGAAGCCTGCCTGCTCCCATCCTGTGGGAGGTTTGGGCTAGAATAAAGTCTTCAAATTTGGAAAAACATCAGAAACATGTAAAACAAAAAAAAAGACTTTTTAGAAAATAGTGTGTTTTTTTTTAAATTTTAAACCCTTTTTAAAACCTTTGTTTCATCTCTCTATGTCCCAGAAACCTTTCTCAGCTAACAGTATCTGAAGTGCTATTTTAACCTGTTTGTGTTGTCTCTTTCAGTTCCAACAAGACCAGAAGAAGGATTCAAGGGAACTAACCTTCTTGGCAGATAGAATTTCTATTCAAAGTCTACAAAGGTGCAATATACATATGAAGTACTTACCCCAATTATTTATTGACTACATTGACAAGAAGCCATTGTACGCATGTTTGCATATACTGTGAGTACATATGTCAGTGACACAGAGAAACCAAGCTAGCCAGTATTTCCATGGAAGATGAAAGATATTATCTTGTATTTTATACATATTTTTTTTTTCATGAATTTATAATCTCAACCCTGTGAAACATGTTCACATATAGATAGTGCTTTAAAAAAAAGTGTATTTTCAGATCAGATACTTTGGTGTATAGTGGCTTGTTTCCACTGACTTCATTCATTTAGTCTTGACCAATGTATGATTAGTGTTATTCAAATTCCTTAAAACAAAAGGGTGTGTTCAGAAGGGAGGAGTCTACAGTACAACATAAAACAGATGTGGGTGGCTCATAAATTTCAATAAGCATGTGTAAAAAAAAAAATTAAATCGCAATATGCAGTGATTTTTTTTTTCTCTCCCTGACACTGGTAACACTCTTCTGCAAAGATGTGCTTGTAATACTAAACACCACCGGCAATTCTCAAAATACAGGATATAAGATGCTACAGTGAAACTTCTTATGGTTTGGTTCTGAAAGTATGCAACATAAGCCAAAATATGTCAATCAAAGTTGACCCATTTTTGCCTACTGGATCTACAAGGCTATCAGGCTAAGCATTGAATTGCAGCACTAACATTTCTCAACAAAACCCTCAGTGTTTTAATAGTTCTTATTTTTTTAAAAATATAATTTGTGATTTCTCATTCTTGTATTATCTCAGGTCTTAGAAAGTTCTCCTATTTCGTCTGCACCTGCCTGTCTAAGCATCAGTATGCCACTCAATCAGGCTGTGGCGGCAATTTCAACCAAAAAAACATTTCTGCAGTTTATCTTCTAAAAAAAAAAAAGTTCCCCTTTCAGACCATGCGGTCTATAGGGCAGATGATGTAAAGATCATCTGTTTCTGTGACCCACTGTTAACAAGGGTGTCATGTGGCCAGAATAGTGAAAAGCGGCTTTTACTTTTCCCCAATTAATGTCATTTACCCTTTAGAGCTGGGTAAATTCAGAGGTGCCATAAAGATCCCAAAATTATAAATCCCAGTCTTCACCAGAATTGCATCCCGGGAACCTCTGGTTCGTAAGCAAAGCGCTTTACCACTTAGCCACCATGCCTCCTGCTGCTTGAAAATTACAGAACACTATTGGGCACATTAAAATACACCAAAAAGTGTCGTGTTTATTTGTGAATCTGTTTCACTTAGTACATCTCACTGGGCTGTTAGCTCTATGCAATTACATCCTAGGCCTACATACATGAAATGTAGAAGATTATATATCTATAAATACTAGTAGTGAATATTGTTATGATATGGGTATGCTGGTTTTTTTTTTTTTATACCTCAATCATTTTCTTTGAGGATAATTTAGGTTAAGCTAAATGTTTGGATTCTAAACCATGACCTCTTAAGCTGACAATGAGGTTTGATTGTTAACATTGGTCTTAACAATATTGTCAAAGTACACTGAATATTTGTTTAAAATTTATTTTGAAAAAGTTGTTTTTTTCCCTCATTTGTTTATTGATAAATTGATTTACAGATCTTTCAGCTTTAACATGTGTTGACAATTTTGCATTTTTGTTTTGGGTTTGCAAAAATGTTTGCCTTTACTTTTGGTCTTATACAATTTTTTTTCTAAAGAACCAAAAAAAAACACATTTTCTAATAGTTGGTAATTGCAATTTTTATTTGTATTTACCAACACTAAATGTTTCTCTAAATAAAATCTTTAGTTACCAGCATAGTCAGAGATTTATTGCTATTCTTGATGTTTCTATACCTTGCCACTTTAGAAGTTCACCTCCAATGAAGTCCAGTAGGGAATAGGCGCCAAAGGTGCCATTATTCCATTGATTATTGGAAAGGATTTCTTCCAATAGAAAGGCATGGTCCAAGGGCTCTTTACCCCACCCCTCCGTCTTTTCAAAGGGACTAGATTTGAAGAGTGTCTGTTTTCTAAGTGTCTATAAAAACTTCTTGTTTAAACTCAAAAGTAGATCACAATCAGAGCTAAGGTATATTATGCTCTTCTTACTGTCAGCTAGAATTCTAACCCAGCACTCCCCTGCCGTCCTGTGGGAGGCCTGGGCTAAGATATAATAATCCTTTCTGAAGGAACTTGCAAAAGTTATTAAACAAAGCTGTTAGCCTTGATTGAAAATCTAGATCTTGCAGACATCTTTGTGTTCAATACTTTCATTCTGCTTCATGCGAACATTAAACTCCTAATTTTTATCAAGGGAAATGGTAACTGACAGATTTATTTTTCTGAAATACTAAGTTTATTTTTGTAATCTTTGTGCTGTCACTTTGAGCTCTACATTTTTAATAAGAGACTAGCTAACTGTGAAAATAGATTCAGAACTGTGTCATTTGTTGCTTGTTTGTTTATGGAGGTCTGTCAGTAAATCAATGTCACGAGTCAACTGGACTTAGTTTATCACTGTGTTTTGATCACTCTGAGCATTTTAATCAACCCTACAGAGATTATTTCATTGGTTGTCCTTTGTAGTTGTACAGACCTTGTTGGTAATTTCTAAATGGACATTTCTAGACTGATTTAAATGGTCATTTAGTTAGCCTTTACATTTTTCAAAGACTTGCAAATATTTGATGGAATTTGATGACAAGATATGATGAGGATTGAAAACCTGTTCATAATCAAACAATTTTCTGATTAAATTTGTTTTTAAAAAAATGTGTCATTAGCACTACATTCTATACTAATTTTATTTAAATTGAGTTACTCTAACATTTTAGTGAATGAGACCTAGCTGTTATATTCGTTTGATAGAAGTTCAAATCAAATTTCCTCTCATTTCTCTTTTTTTTGAAAACCCAATTCATTTATCTCCCTTCCTTCTCACCATTCAGTTGGTATCAAATAATTTACAATGTTATAATTGTGACCAACGCCAGGATGTCTCTATTAGCTCATTGTATATAATGTATTATAGTATAATATAGTCCAACGTATTCATGAACCCATGCAGGATCATAATTCTCCTCAAGGGAAACTATGACAACAATCCATGTATTTACTGTAAATAGAGAGTGTTATTATTTATTAACTCTTTGTCAGCCTCTCACCCCTAGTGGGTGAAGCTTATTATAAAAACTATATATATGTATGTTACGCCATTACCCACATTTTGAAGTATACAAAAAAAACACTTTTAAACTTTGTCACTTTTTCTGTAGAATTTTTTTTTAGTCAAAACTTTGAAAAGAGAAAGTGTTGGCAGATGTCATACTTTTGTTTAGAGACATTAATGCTCTCTATTAGTTCAGAGAAAACAGTAATGATAACATTGACAATATAGACCTTTGTGCCACCAATTGTGATTATTTTCTATTATATTTTAATAGAATATGAAAGCAAGTAAATCAACTGTTTTTAAATTTGGCAGGATTTGTTCATTTCTGCTGTTTCTTTGCTCAATATTTCAGAAAGGTTTTTTATTGGCCAGCATAACTACCAAGTAATTGTGTAACTTTCCCCCAGCCATTGCCAAGTAGCCATTTTGTTTACTTTTAATTTCTCTTTGGTTTTTAAAGCCTTTCATTTTCAAAGACATTTTTGCTTGTATGTTTGACAATGTTACTCACCCTTCTCATGTATCATGCTTCATGTTGAATGTATAACTATGCCTAATGAATAGATTAATACATAACATTAGTAGAGCCAAACATTAGCTTTAGCTCATTGAGTTGGTCTCAATTTCATGTGCAACAAGAAAGATGTCATGATTTTTGGAAGTTTAATAATTATATTTTCATAGGACTAGTAAAAAAATGTTTTCTTTAGATGATTTGGTCCTTGGGGTAAATTGAGGTAACCACTAACTTGGCTGATGGCATTTAGTGCTTTGTAGTCAGCCAATGCTACTCCCTCAGGTTTATTGCTGGGGGGCCATAAAGTGATAAACCTTCGTCTCTCTTTCAAATCTCACCCCTGCCCCACTCTTTTCTGTTTCCTTATGAACCTGATTGCTTGTTGGTAAACTGGTCTGCAGACAATTATTGATTACATTGCTGTAGTGACCCAAATCATGTTTTATAATCATTGAATACTGACCTACATTAGAACACAGGTGGCTTACAAAACTTTGCCTAAGTTGACTAAATTGATTTCCAAGGTTTTCAGGTGTTAGTTTTTTTTAATGTATTATAGCTTATCTATCCTTTTATCTGCAAAAGTAAGAAAATTAAACTATATGTTGAGAATTTTTTTTTTTTTTTTTTAAATATCAAAACGAAAGTAATTCAAATAATTTGTGCAACATGCTACCACCATAGCCTGACCTAATTTATGTTGAATAGCTTATGACCTAGTTGTTTGAGTTTATCTTAATTCTTACAAAACAACAAACCATTTCTATCACCTCTCAAAAAATCTTAATATTAAGCAACTTTCAACAGGCTGAAATTAAAAAATCTCTTGCAGACTGCAAATATTTGATAGATATGATGAGGATTGTCAACTTTTATTTTATTTAGTGGGCTGTCAGCACAAAATTGAACACATAATATATTTTCCAGGAGAAAATTTAAATTCTTTTGTCATAATGAAGTTTTTGCTTTATTTTGTCAACTAAGAACTCGGGTTTGATTTAGACTAGATTAACACTTGACTTGAATAAATTATTTTTGTTGATAAAAGGTGTTTTTGTCACTAAATTGTTTGAGTGAGACCCTCCAACGTTGTTCCAATCAAAGCCAGTGAACTATTTTTTGTTGTCGCTGTCTTCCTGGTGATCCCAAGTTGTCCATGTCTTCTTCAATCTCTTTCTAGTGAAACAGGGAAAACCAAATGAGTTTTGTCATGTTGAGATCTCAAAAATTAAAAGGACTATTGAAAATGTGATTTCCCCAAATATGCTAAAATTTAAAAGGTGCAATGGTATTCTATATGCAAACTGTTGTTTCATACAAAAGCACCATTTTAAAAAAAATACTTGTATAGTATGCACTACTGCATAAGTCAAACCATAAAAATGAAATGGGAATGATTTTTTTTCCATTTTTTTAATAAATAACTTCTGTATATATAGTTTCACTATTGGTGAAAACTGTTTTAAAATATAAAATGTACAGTTGAATCTTGATAGTCCAACTGTGAGAACCTTACAGGACAGTAGGTGTGTTGGATTGCAGAAACTGTCAGATTTATCAACGGTTAGCTGTACTTCATAGAAATTAACTGTATATGCCAAGAAAATTGCATTTATTATCTATTAGATGTAATAGAATATTCTCTTAGACTTTAAAGAGTATAAAATAATCAATAGATGAAAATATGACTTTAAAGTCTGGTAACCTCAACCAAAACAGTGGACCCATGATGCCTAAAAGTTTGTTGAAAAACAAAAAAATTTTTGTTTTGTTTTCAGTGTGGGTTCCTAGTTTGTCAAAAGTTTGACAAGTTTCGGATGTTCCTTCAGAGTTGAAGATAATTTACGTCTTAGTCCAAACCTCCCGCAGAACAACAGGGGATGGTAGGAGTCAGGGTTTGAAACTGGGACTATCGATAAATCTGAATGACAGTCCAGTGCGCAAACTGCACGACCAGCAAGTCTAGAGACTATGAGATGTCTGTCTAATCCATTAATTGTTTTATAAGCTAACAAGAGTATTGTCACAGAGTGACTTCTTTCCTAATATGGTCAGGATAACTACACACATAATTTTTCTAATATACTTTAAATGAAACAGGTTCAATTATAATACAACATGTTATGTAAGTAATGCTTATTTTCAAAATATTATTTTTTAAAACCTAGATTGGTCTGATTTAAATCTTATTATGACTAAGTCTTATTCAAATTACAAAAGTTGTTATTGAAATATTTCTATTTGAAAATTAATATTCAGAATAGAAGCTGCAAAATGTGTATAGAGTAGTTAAGAAATTTAAAATCTAGGACATACATGGCTACTTGGTCATGTGTTATGTGCTTTGACTGTCAATTCAATTGTCCCGGGTTTGAACCCCCCCACCACCATCCTGCAGAAGGTTTAGGCTAGGCTATAATAATCTTCAATCCTGAAGGAGGAGCGCTGTATTCCACATGGATATGCAGTCCAAGCTGTGATCTACGTATTTTGCCACATTCAGCACAGACATAACCATGGTCAGTTTAGGTTCTCTTTCCACTGTCGACATCTGTTCTCTGCTGTAGATTTACTTTGGTCTCAAAAGTATATCATAAAACATATAAAAAAAACAAAACACATTGGTTGAGAGCTTAATGAAAAAACAAAAAGATTCCTAAATAACAAAACATCATGTTTTAATAGTTTGTCATTCCAAACAAATAGCTGTTTTTTTCTCATAGCTGTTAAAGGCACATGATATACCTCTTGTCTAAATACCAAAAACAAAATAAAAAAAGAATTTGAAAGTAATACTGTGATTCGTAAATGTCTAACTATTTTGTAGACTAGAAACAGTTTATGAGTCCATCTCTAAAAGCATAAAAGTCTGGCATAAATGCATTGCTAGTGAAATAAAAACAAGCCAAAATTGAAAAAAACAATAAAACTGTAATGATAAATTTAAAAAAATTAATTAATATGTGATACATGTACAATCAAACCAATATTCACATATACATTTTACAAAATTGCTTGTTTTTTTAAATTAAAAGAGAGAAAAAAATAACTTTGTGAAATTTCTTACATATTTATAAAGTCTTTAAATGAACGAAATAAAAATATCACATTCATTGTATTGCATCCATCAACATATTTAAACAATGATTTTTATTCATTCTAATTGTACTTTTATATCTCAAAAAAAACTTCTGTTATTAAGAAAATATGTCAACAAAGATTTTGACACAAATATTACAGGTATTAGAGACTTAGCATGTAGGTCATAGCAGGGTCTACATCCACTTAAAATTCTGAAATAGGGGCCTATTTCACATGAAGATTTTACATGTTCATAAAGTTCCTTTGGACACATCGGCAGCATGGAGAGGGGACTACTGTGTGGACGGTATTGTTACGACCATAACTAATGTCCATGCTTTCATCTTGTTATTTTTTTAAACTAAAAACTGAAGAATAAAATCCCATTATTGAACACCTCCATTACTCTGTAGTGAACTGTTGAAGACATTGATCAATTAGTAGTTTTATAAAATGGGAATCATAGACGCATGTTGCAATAAATATGAACTGTCGTAAATTGATTTTGTAAGTAAACTTATAAAACTATGGCTGTGAAGTGAAGTTGAAGTGATTAATATGCAGAGCAGCTCAAATTCAGTTCATGCTGAAAATATGGTGGGAAATCACATAAATGGCATTAGAAAACCTGTTGTTTCATTCTGTAGAAAAAAACATTGTAGAAGAGGTGCCCTCCCCCTCTCCCCCCCCCCCCCCATCCAGAAGTGCTATAAAATCAAATTAGGCACCATTTTTCCCTCACTGGCATAGAGGAAAGTAGCTGGCTACAGATGGCCTCTGAAAGAGCCATTCATTTTTAGTCCCACACTTTTGTCCTGTTGAAATTTTTTTTTAACATTTATAATGAGATGTGTGCCAAGAAAATTTCACTTATTGCACTTGCTGTATTAAAATTGTGGACGAAAAAATCCATATTTCTTCAATCATTGTAGTAAGGCTTGTCTTTAAGTCTGAGAATTAATAAGAAATACAGTATTTCCTGGGGCTAAGCAGCCCCAGTTACGACCTACATCCAGCGCAGGCATAACCATTTTGTCTGCCACTGGTGGATTTAGATTTTCTTTTCACTGTTTTCGTCTGTCCTCAGCAGCAGATTTTCTTTTGGCATCAAATGTGTATCCCGCAGCTTTTGTAAGTGACCTCCAGGTGTCTCGTTCTAAAGCCGCCTGCAGTCAGATGCATTCTTCTATGTCAGTTAAAGCAAGTTGGTGTTTAAACTGGTCATTAAAGCATTTCCACGGGGCACCTCTGTTATGTTTCAGCTCACCAAAAAAAAGACTGCTTTTGGCATTCGTTCCTCTGCCATTATATCAGGTATAACTTTTAATTAAGGCAATAGAAATAATTAATGGCATAATAACATTTAGTGATATACTGGTAAACACTATATATGTATCAATGAGAAGTCCAATGAGAAAAACATATTGAGAATATATATATACTTCAATAATATGTCAATGTTCCAGTGAGTGGAGAAATACAAAGTCCTGACAATAGCATTGTCCAACAAAACAGGCACCAAACATTCCTGATATATTGCACAGCTTACATAGTCTAGATCTACACACATACACTTGAGAATATCTAGGTGATTCTAATTGTCAATAGAACCATTGAACACCAAAATAACATGCAAGTAATCAATTCAAGTTTAGTTCTATGACTTTTAATCAGCCATGACACCAAAGGCACAAAATATATAGTGTAAACAATCATTAGGTTTTCTATTTTCATGAGGACTAACAAAAAGAATTGTTAAGACATTCTCAACAAAATAGAAATAGTGTTTTATTAAATCATTTTTTGTTTGTTTTCATAATTAGATCTAGCCATCTTAATGTATCAGCTTAACATCTCAAGAAATCACAATAATATTTTCCAAAATAATCCATCGATTATACCCGTAAAGTACGTAAAAGTGTGTATATATATATGTATATATTTTTAATATATATGGCAAAGAAAATGATGTAAACATAATTATATGATATAGTTATGTATTATTTTTTTTTACAAAAGACTCCATCTAATATTGAGATTTAAAAACCATTGACTTCAGTATTACAAAATTTAAAACATAAATCAGTTAATTTGATTTTGTAAACTAGCAAAATAAGTTTTTAAATAAATGTTCATTCCAAAATGTGTGAATCAAAAACAGTAGACTATTATATTATTAATATTAATTAAAATGATTGTTAAGTTAAATTTCTAATGTGACAATTAATTTAGTACAAATCCATAATCTGTGTCTTATATTGTCCTTATTTTTAAATAAAACCCATTTCATTTGAAAGTAGAAAATAAGATAAGAATTAAAAAGGATCTGTGTAAATTGAAAAAAAAAAAAGACAGTTGTCTTTTTATAACTTGTGAAATAAATCTTTCAGTTTTTCTATCTTTAGGCGATCAAGAATTCTGCAGACAACATAGTTATTGGCATTTGGATATATTCAATCACTGGTCAAATATTTGACTCTTAGATAACCAAAGTCACATATTGGATGTTGAAAAAAGTATTTTAAAAAAAACACAAAAAAATTAGGGAAAAATTATTTTTTTTTTTCACTTTAAGGGTTCAAAAAAAAACAATTTCTGTTATGTATGAAATATAATGTTTAAATTAAATTTTAAAAAAAATATTTTTCAGCAATAAATATTATTTTCTCAAATTTGTTTTCCATTTTATCAAAATAGTAATGAAAACATCATTATTAAAAATCAAAATACTTAAATAATAAAGTAAAAAAAATCTTTTAAAGCTTTTTTCACCTACTCTAATACTAATATCTCAAAATGTCCCAAACATTGTTGGTAGCCTTTGTCATTTATGATCATAGATAATTCTAAAGCAACTCTAGTTTAAAATTATTTTTTAAAACTTCAAACAAAATTTATTTTAGCAAAATTTATGTATAAGTGCATAGATAAATATATAGGTACTCTTACAATATATTATATAATTTTAAGCATTAAAAAGGCTTTAGATGCATATTTATTATGGTAAATGACTAGAATTTTGATCACATAATAGTAAGTGCTATATTAAAATGAGTATTAGATATTGTAAACAAAAAAATTGTATTTAAGTATTTTATTATTATTGTTCTTGCTTAAGTAAAGCTTCAGTCTGGACTTGTGGCTGGGAGAAGGTTTCTGTGCTGCCTTTAGGCACTCAGGAAACACAACTTAATCCAAATTAAATTTCAAATTAATAATTCCTAGTCATGATCAGGAGTTAACCTTGAGATCCCTCAACTATGTATCCATAGGAGTTAACCTTGAGATCTCTCAGCGAGGTATCCATAGGAGTTAACCTTGAGATCTCTCAGCGAGGTATCCATAGGAGTTAACCTTGAGATCTCTCAGCGAGGTATCCATAGGAGTTAACCTTGAGATCTCTCAGCTAGGTATCCAGAGGAGTTAATTTGAGATCTCTCAGCTAGGTATCCAGAGGAGTTAATTTGAGATCTCTAAGCTAGGTATCTAGCACATACAAAAATGTTGTTATTCTCAACTTTTAACAGTTCTTAATTTAGTTATTATGAAAGCAGAAGAACATGAAGAGACCTAAAGTTTGTTGGCTTGAAAGAATAAGAAATTCACATTTTATTTCTAAATAAAAAATTTTCAAATAAATATTGCAAACTATGGCTGAGTGGTTAAGCAGTTGGCTTTTGCACTGTTAGGTCTCAAGTTCAAATCCCAGTGAAGACTTCAGGATTTTTAGGATGCCCTGAGTCCACCCAACAGGCAGGTGACATAACTGCAGTTGGTCATTGTGTTCGCAACATGACGCCCTTTTTAACTGTGGACCATAGAAACAGATTAGCTTTACATAATCTTCCCACATAAATCACAAGGTTTGAAAGGGATACCTTATTACAAACAGGTATTCCTTGAAAATTATAATGCTGATGTAAAAGTACAAAAGTCAGATTTACCTGGTACTGTAAACATAATATTTTCTAAACACAGTAAATATGTTTATTTTAAAGATAATGTAAATGTATATTTTTCTAACACACACAAGAATAAAACTTATTAAATTGACAGCATTGTTGACACTTTCAATGTTCACACCAGTGACAGTCACAGAACACAAACTAAAAGTTCAGTAGCAATATGAACTTAACAAGTTACATATATTCCTTAAAAATTGAATATTTTCTTTCGACAATCTGCAAAATGTTGGCTGTTTTGTAGTACACAGCTTTCAACCCATCTTTTTATAAAAAATCCCCAGATTAAAAGTAAATACTTTTTTTTTTGGAATTAAAAAGATAAGAACAAGGGTCAAAAGTTCATGATTGATTATACACACAGACGATTAATTATTGCTTTTAATTCACCGGGATATAAGGATACAAAAGATAAAATTTAAAAATACAGCATACAAGTCCGATTTGTCACTTAGTCATTTTAAAAATATAGCATACAATTCTCATTTGTCCTACAGTCATTTCACAAGTTATTTTTTTGGGTGGGTAGGGGCTATTAACAGTTGAAATGTTTACAAAATCCTAAATTATATGTTGAGTCATTTAGGTTTACTTAATTCTTTCTCTCCTAACTAACGATACCAACGTTGATTCCATCAGAATGTGGTAAATAATTACGGAGAGAAAGAGTTAATAAGTTTTTGTAGATGGGGAAAAAATGACTTAGGCAAATATGCAGATATACAATCTATATGTTGAACTTGTAAGTAGATCCTAGTTTCACATTTTCAATCCATTTTAAGTGTAGCAACGCTGTAGCACCACAGGGATGAATGAAGAATAAAATATTAGTCTCAGTGCAATGATGAAAATCACTGCCATGATTTGAGGCAATCTTTATAATAATTACAATGTAAACAGACGTAATTATATACTCTACAAAACTGTACAAAGCAGTTCAGCAATACACTGTTTCAAAGAATGTCATCAGTATAATGGATATAAGGTTCTATTTTCTACAAAGCATTTCAGCGATACAATGTTACACAGAGCACGTGAATGCAGTGGTTCATCTCTTAGGCTTTGTTTCTCTGTGGCCAGCATTTCTGCTGTCTGCAGTCTGTTCACTGGCAAGGCCAGAGTTGACTATGAGGCTTAGTATCATTCGGAGGATCAAAGGGAAGAGCAAGAATGGCAGCACAAGCCAGGTTAAAGGGTGATCTGAAACAAACAAATAGTTATTCATTAAATGCAGTTCTACACATACTTGTGGTTTACATGTATAGCTTAGTCCAGTGGTGCCCAGTGGGCCATAATTTGGGAATCACTGGCTTAAGTAAAACAAGTAAAGTACCCCTTTCAGACCTTGCAATCTAGGGGGCAGATGATGTAAAGATTATCTGTTTTTGTGGCCCATGGTTAACAAAGGTGTCAAAAGATCAGCAGGGGCAGACTGGCTATATGGGCATTTGGGCAAAAGCCCAGTGGATCATTACCCAAATGGGCCGGTAGGGCCACAGAAAGTACCATATAGATGCCACTATGACACTGTCGGTTCAGACCTTTTATGGCCTAGACACTGAGCGATTGAAAAACAACATAAGGTATATATTTTTTTATAAAGATATAGAGTTCATAGTATGCATGCATACAGTTATCGATACATTATCATACTTAACATAATGATTTTGAGATCAGTAGGTTATAATTAGATGCCCATCATAAGATATACAATTTATGGGCT